TCGCCTGGCCCCAGAACGACTCAGCTGCGCTTTCGAACCGCTGCACTGATAGCATTGGGTTGAGGTAAGCTCGAACGAGATCATTGAGCAGCAAGGTTGGCACGTAATGACACCAAGTGCAGCACAGTTTTCGAAGTAAGCCAAGCGATCGCTTCCCCATGCTCTCCACTCGCCACTTGCCCCAAGTGGAGAGGAGCACGCAATAGGCAGAGAGGTAGCCAAAAATGATGTTTGTGAAATCAATCGTGTTCCAAGCTACAACATACCACTGCGGAAGCACATAGCTGTTGTATGGACTCGGTCGGAGAGGAAGTCCCTCCAGAGGCACTGTGATGATGGCATGGCCCATCACCAGCCACACCGTCAACATGATCCGGGTAACGTGGAGAACGCCGTGCCCCTCTGCCCCGCGGATCAGATCTTCCGCACCCCCTCCGAAGAAGATTGCCGTGATCGCCAAAGCTGAGGCTGCAAAGAGCCAACCAGGCCTTGATGAACCCTAAACCCTAAAACCCTAAAACCCTAAACCCTAAACCCTGAACCCTCAACCCTCAACCCTCAACCCTAAACCCTAAGCCGAGGAGCCTTGATAGAGAATCGAGGAGCGGCTGGCCGTAGGTCAGGAGATGACCCTGTATGTTCGTAGCTGGGCCAACACTGCCGAGGTCTCCGTACAGCCTGCTGACGAGGCCGCTGATGTCTTCCTCACTTCTCCAAGAACCCAGGAAAAGAAAGAGGGTTAAACTTTAATATTCCTCCTAAATCAGGAAACCCAAAAAGCTTAAAGTTCAACTCTTGGCCAAGTAAGCTTCCTCAGTGCATGTTGCTGGGATACATAGATCGACAGGCAGGCTGCCAAAACTCTCGCCGCGAGACAGCCTGAACGAAGCAGCGGCCAACTTGCCCGCGAGTCCAGCGCAACCTTTGGGACCAAATGAACCCCTAAAATTGGGGGGTCATATACCTTATACCACCATAATTCCGATTAAGGTATATATACCCTATACTACCATAATTCCGATTAGGGTATATGAACCATAAACCCTTTTAGGTTTCATTTCGTCCCCAAGGAGCTCCCGAGCGAGGCGCGGCGTCTGATGTAGACGGGCTGCTTGTTGCTCATGGCAAGAAGAGTGCTGGCGGCGGCGAACAGTTGCTCGCCTGCTGTGAAATCGAGCCAACAACCCCCTGAAAGCTCGAGCTGACCTTAGTTGCTGAGTTCATAGGCTCCCCCAAAAAAACTTACACATTTCTCAGTTCTATAGGGGATTCTAGTATCCCAACAAGGGTAAAGTGTGCTCACTGAGCTACTAAGTGACAGCAGCCTGCGTACGTGAAGTATCCATCCCAGCAGGCCGGATTGCCGCTGGGTCCTAGAGACGGCTCGCAACCTCGGCTGGCCCCTTCAAGCACCCTGAATATTTAGGGTTTAGGGTTTAGGGTTTAGGGTTATTTCCCTAGAAATATGAGTCTCAGTATAAGGGAACAAGGAAAATATCCCAAAAGCCCCACCCAGCAACAAACGTCCCAGGTGAAGTCGCTGGTCCAGCAGTCTGGATTCCCCTGCGCGGCAGCTGCTGCAAGCGTGCCTTAGTAGCCCAGTAACCATATTTTTACAAGGGCACCCTTTTTTGGGTTGATTACTTTAGAAGGGAACCCATAACCAAAAAGGTTAAAGGGTACCGCTGGGCTACTAAGGCACCAAGAAATGCAAAGAATCTGCGAGGCGGACACCCGCCCACCGACTGCATGTTTCAAAACGGCTTGAGCCCAAGCATCTGTCATAGATGGCCTGCCCAGTGGCGCAGCACATGTTCATAGTATATACAATCACTCACACACACACACACATATATATATATATACATATATATAAGACACCAACGTGTATGAGCATCAAAATCTATATGCACGCATACTGTGAATTATATACTACTTGCGTACATATGAACAATCTACAGGGGTATCCCAACCCTCAACCCTAAACCTAAATACTTAAGGCAATGCCCATGAACTCAAACCCTTTCTCAAGACGAGCAAGGCTCTTGAAGGCGGTCCTCACTTCGGATCTCGCTGGTTGAGGGCATTGGGACCCCCGAAACGAAAAACCTTAACCCTCAAGCCCATGTAACTTGAAGCCCTAAACCCTAAACCCTAAACCCTAAACCCTAAACCCTAAACCCTAAACCCTAAACCCTAAACCCTTACAGCTTTCGATTACTAAGTTCCAAACAGAACTCCCCAGAACTCCTCGAAACTTTTCTTGCAAACTCCGCGAACCTCCTCGACACTTTCCCCGGACGTGAACCCTTAATCATGTCAACAAACCCTAGACTCTAAGCCCTAAGCCGCAAGCTCTTTCTACTTCCGACTCCTCGAAAAAGTCCTACGGCAAGTAACCCTAAACCCTAAACCCTAAACCCTAAACCCTAGACCCCTAAACCCCTAAACCCCTAAACCCCTAAACTTTGTCTAAGGATTGCAAAACTCCAGGATTTAGGGTTTCGGTTTAGGGCATAGGGTTTAGGGTTTCATACAGTAGCGCCCCCTTGGCAGTCTAAGCGCCACTCCTTGCTTGAGGAATAATTGGGCTCTCTGGGAAGGTGCGGCATGCGATTGACACTCAAAAGGAGCCTTTAGGGGTTGGGGTTTAGGGTTTAGGGTTTAGGGTTTAGGGTTTAGGGTTTAGGGTTTAGGGTTTAGGGTTAAGGGTTAAGGGTTTAGGGTTTAGGGTTTAGGGTTTAGGCTTTCGGCCGGGACCACACCTGGGAGATACTTTAGATTGGGTTTCCACGTTTAGGGGTTTAGGGTTTAGGGTTTAGGGTTGAGGGTTCAGGGTTCAGGGTTTAGGGTTTAGGGTTTAGGGCTTCTAATGGTTGCTGTTTCTGGCTGTCATCACCTCCGAGTGCCCCATCGGGCGTGCGCAAGCTTTGTGCGAGTGTCCGACATGGGACCTCCGTCACTTCTTCGCAGCCGCCTTTCCTCGGATGCTCTAATCAAACAGGGTTTGGGGTTTAGGGTTTAGGGTTTAGGGAAACGTCCATACACATGAGCTCCGCGCGTAACTAGTCTGACGACAGTTGCGACACCGATGACTCCCGATGACTCGATGACAACCACGATGACGACGACGACGACGACGACGACGACGACGACGACGACGATGATGCCGATGTCGTGAATGATGGCGATGGTTTGGTGGTGACGATGGTTCTGACGAATTTGAAGATGGCTAAGCACCATAGATGGTAAAACTTTGAATACATATTGCAAGTAACTCCTATTCAATTTCACTCAAAAAAGGAATAGGATTCAATTAGAACGTACATGTAACACTGAATGTTTTACTTTAATGCAGAATTGCAAATAACCATTAAAAAAACAGTGTTGAAATAGCTGAAGCCTGTGACACTAGATGGCTTTGGCGTACACATCTGTCCAAGAAGTGGGTATGCTAGGTCAAACCCTGAACCCAAACCCTAAACCCCAAACCCCAAAAACAGGTACCCTATCTTTTTCATCTTCTTGAACCCCAAGTATACTCCCAAAACGAAGTCTGGGTTCCCCAGTATCCGATGAAAAACAAAGCGCACCCTTCCTGATTTCATTAGGCTCGGGTCCTGCGTCACCTAAAAAAAGGCATAAGAGTACTACAGTGTATCCTAGAAGTGATTCTATACTAGACTTGGAACCCTTTGCACAACATAATTTTAGCTGTTCGTTTAGCTGTTCCTTAGGAATTCAGGAGCCAACAAACTATTTGAACAAAAAAGTAAAATTGTTTCCGAGTGCCCCTACGGGTTCGGGTCGCACTTTCCCAACCTCTCTCTGGCTGCTTCTTCGGGACAGGCGTCGGCGAAGCCTGACGGGTGCGATTCTTCGTGGCTCGGGGCCGAGGCGCGCTGATGTTTAGAATGTTTAGTGATGGTTTATGGTTTTAGGGTCTTAGGGTGTTTTGGTTTGGGGTTTTAGGGTTTTAGGGTTTTAGGGTTTTAGGGTTTTAGGGTTTTAGGGTTTTTGGGTTTTTCAGGGTTTAGGGCTTAGGGTTTAGGGTTAGGCTTTAGGGTTTAGGGGTGCTAAGTGTGTGATGTTGCTGTTCCTATGTTGGCGTCCTTTGCCTGCCTCTCCTCAAGCCACCAGGCAGCAGCAAGCTTTTCAAACGGTGTATGCTACTTTGGTTTAGGGTTTAAGGTTTAGGGTTTAGGGCTTAGGGTGTGTGCTACTGCGTACTGCTGTGGAGTAGAACGGACCGGACCTTGAACCGCGACTCTCCCATGCATGCTGTCTTTTCCTACTATTTGCTAAATTGCTGAAGAACCCCCCCACAAATGCAAAATAGTAATCCCTATATTGCCCTTGGAGGGGGGGGGGGGGGGGTTCTCAAGCAAATAGTAGTCCCTTGCGAGCCAATAGGCCAGATTCTGGAAAACTGGCAGTGTCGAAGCACTGTGATCCCCTTATAATAAGGTAGTAAGGACCCCAAGAGGGTGGCACTAATTTCAGAAACCACCCCCCCAATTCTGTTCATGCGCAGAGAGGCCGCATGCATAATGTCGTGTCTTCTCTTCTGCTGCTTGTTGTCTATTTATGTGTTGTCTATCGCTTTCTCTCTAGCTCTCTCTCTCTTTCGTTTCTCTTTGTGATACAAGCCGGGTAACATCTGACAGGTGCTGCTAAGATCAGAGAAAGCAATTCAAGATACGCGTTTGGAGACGAATAGAATCTGGGCATTCGGGAGAGAAATAACCATAAAAAAATCAAGAAGCGATTCTGATGCTTGCATACATACAATGTGCAAGATGGACGCTCCTGTGGGTGGGAGGTGTGAACTCCATGGTCGATCGAGGGCGGGGCTGGAACCCCTAAACCCTAAACCCTAAACCCTAAACCCTAAACCCTAAACCCTAAACCCTAAACCCTAAACCCTAAACCCTAAACCCTAAACCCCGCACCCTAACCCCTAAGCCCTATGTTTGTAAACCCCCCAGTCGCTGAAGGCCTCACACCAGCTCCTCGTCCTTCTCAGAAGCGGCTCCCCACGTCGAAGCCGCGGCATTAGCCGGCGTTGACCACCTGCTCACCCAGATCTTCCAAAACCGCTTAATTAAGGAATATACCCTGATTTATACTAAGGATCCTTAGTGTGAGTTAGGGTATATATATATATATGCCTCAATAAAGGAATATGCCCTAATTTATAGTAAGGATCCTTATTATGAATTAGGGTACGTTCCTTAACTGAGGGGTTTTGGAAGATCTGGGATTCAAAGGGCCATGGTGCGGAAAGTCCAAACATGTGGACCTTTGCTAAAACCTGACTGCTGAAACCCATGATCCAAGGGGGAGTTGGGAGCATAACGCTCTCAACCATGTCAAAACTCAGCCCTTTATGGTATGGCTTCAAGTTGGAAAAAACAGGATGGTGTCAAGCCCCTCGAAGCCCTAAACCCGAAGCCTAAGCCCTAAACCCTAAACCCTAAACCCTGAACCCTAAACCCTAAACCCTAAACCCTAAACAGGGTTCGGAATAATTACTTATGGTATTCCCATACGGTCCCGGGGTTTAGGGTTGAACTCCTGAAGGGACCCAAAGTTGGTTTTGGGGCTTAGGGTTTAGGGTTTAGGGTTTAGGGTTTAGGGTTTAGGGTTTAGGGCTACAACTCCTACTCGTCCAATTTGAACGGGAAGCTAAAGTTAAAACATCCCTCCCAGAATGGTCGAGGAGTTGAAGGCCACTTTAACCTACACCTCAACCTTAAACCCTAAACCCAAAACCTTAAGCCTAAAACGGTGCAAAGCCGAAATCAGCTCTACAGCCCATCTCCCCCCCCCCCCCCCCGCCGAAACAAAATCTCAGAATTTAGGGTTTAGGGTTAGAGTTTAGGGGGTTTAGGGTTTAGGGTTTAGGGTTTAGGGTTTAGGGTTTAGGGTTTAGGGTTTAGGGTTTAGGGTTTAGGGTTTAGGGTTTAGGGTTTAGGGTTTAGGGTTTAGGGTTTAGGGTTTCGGGTTTCGCTCTACTACTCTTCCCACACAAGTACCCCGAACCCCCCAACAAAAAAGCTCTAAACCCCGAACCCCCAGAGTTTTGGAGCCTTTATGGTAAAATTCACATAGGGACCATAAGGGAGCCTAAACCCTGAACCCTAAACCCTAAACCCTGAATGCTATTAGTCATTATTCCGACTTCCATCGTGCGCGACTCAGCCATGGGCTTTCTGGTCCAGAGCGCCGTGGCCGGCAGGGCATCAGGGACAGGAGCCTTTTGCCACAATTGGGGTTTAGGGTTTAGGGTTATTAGGGTTAAGGGTTTAGGGTTTAGGGTTTGGGGTGTGGGGTTTAGTGTTTATAGAAATTGCATAGGGTTTGGGTCAAAAAGTTTGAGCGAAAGCTTTGAGCGAAAGTTTTTTCTTTTGGAACTATGTTTTTCATTTGGGAGCGGGGGAGCAGGGGCAGGGAGGGGGGGGGGAGGGGGCGGGGCAGGGGAAGGCGGGGGGCCGGGGGGCAGGGGAGGAAAGCCGCACAAGTTAAAGTAAATTGAGAATTTGGCCTTTCAGAGGTGTTTTGGATTAATATACACAAACTCAGCTTGTCAGCTGTTTAGACAAATAACTTGGGAAATTCAGAATGATACCACATACAATTTCGATTTATTTTGTCTTTGAGGGTTTAGCGCAGGCTCCTGGGAGGATCCAAACAGTGGATCCCCTTAACAGTTCCTAAGGACGACCCAATAGTCGCTTCGGGCACCCTAAACCCTAAACCCTAAAACCTATATCAACCCTTAGGGTTTAGGGTTTATATAGGTTTTAGGGTCTAGGGTTTAGGGTTTCCTAAACCCTATGTGGGGGGCTCTACTTTTTGGATCCCTTTGTCTGGGGGTATGACAACGACGACTGCGCCCGGCCTCTGCCTCGGGAGTGTCTGTGACCGTCGCTGCTGGCGGTGGTCTGAGGATGCGGGTTTGCTTTTTAACCCTCAACCCTAAACCCTAAACCCTAAACCTCAAACCCCCAAACCCTAAACCCTAAACCCTCCAGGCCAGAAGAAATAGTAGTTGTGGGTGGTTCAGTTGCAACCTGCCATTTCGATTGGGGAAGACAAGCCAGATGGGCTTACAAATGCAACCATGAACTCCCTTTGCCCCCCCCCCCCCCCTCCCCCCGACCTGCCCCAATCCCCGAATTCGAAATTCGAAAATTCGAAACGTCGAAACATCTTTTGAAGCCCCAACACCCACCAGGCTTGCAAGCTTAGGTAAATCTCAGGCATAAGGATATAGGGTATTTAGGCCCCTGGTGCATGAGCCGTGGGTTTAATTGTTTTGGGGTTCCTAGGGGTGTTCACGACACTACTCCTGTGCCTTGAGAAAAAAAACCCTCAAACCCTAAACTCCTAGACACACACATGCAAACCTAAACCTGTCACGGATACGAGGTGGGTGCGTTGTGAGGCAACGTGAACCTAGGCACACGCAGGCGTTCGAAACACAAGCCAAACGGTTTTCAACCTCAAAGCTGAAACTCGTGGGGCGGTTACATGATCCCTGCAAATGATTATGGGCACCTACTTGGGGGGGAACCCTTATATGCCCCTTATATACCCTATAACACCAAAGGCCCGTATTTCAGAAGCCTTCCAGCAATGCAAAGGGGATCCTAAGACCTTCAACCCTGGGCTGTGAATCTTGCTCAAGGGACTGCTGCGAGTTGCAGGTTTAGGGTTTAGGGTTTAGGGTTTAGGGTTTAGGGTTTAGGGGGTTATGTGTCCATGAAAGAATCGAACCCCATATGTGCTGTTGAGCTAGACACCCAAACCCAAACCCCAAAACTTGAACCCTAAACCTGCAGATCGTACCCTGTGCTACTATTGGGTGAGTTGAAGATCTACTTTTTGGACCCCCAGGGGCCTGGGAAACCCAAGCCCTAAACCCCAAGCCCCCAAACCTGAGTCGAAGGGTCCCACAAGTTACGTCCTGTTTTGGCGTCTCGGGAGCCCGCAACACACTCCTGTCAATGGCATCTCGATGGCAATGCATGTTGAGTCTTCTTCAACCCCCAGACCCTAAACCTTAAACCGAAACCCTAAACCCCTAAACCCTAAACCCCGAACCCGATTTTAAACCCTCCCGAGACCCCCAACCCCCCCCCCCCCCCCGAAATAAAGGAAGCACCAAGCATTCCCTGGGTTGTAGCCCATGCTACGGCAGTCGTTGCTGATGTCCATTAACACGGCTTCGCTTCCATTATGTGCAGGTGCAGTGATCAATCAAACTTGACCTTGCCCATTCTGCTTGGACGACCTCCCTGGAATTCTGCCATTTAAGTTCGCTCGGACACGGATGCTCCCAGTGCAAGGCTCAGGCAACACTTAATAATTTGTTTTTTTCTTAGTACTCCCGCGGGCTTTAAACAAAAACAAAACAAGAATAATTACGCTAAACCCTAAACCCTAAACCCTAAACCCTAAACCCTAAACCCTAAACCCTAAACCCTAAACCCTAAACCCTAAACCCTAAACCCTAAACCCTAAACCCCACCCCCCAACGCTGCCTCGGCGGGGGGCGGCTCTCAGCCTCCACCGGCCGTGCCCGGCGCAGCCGCTCAGCAACCTTTCGGGTCGGGGGGTTGTACGGTTCATAGGGTTTATCGGTGTTTTGTTGCTAGGGCTTGCAGTATCGGTAGGTTACAGGGTTTACAGGGTTTTGTAGGGTTTTTGAGTTTTTATAGTTGTTTTTGTTTTTTCGGGGTTACAAGGTTGTATAAGCGGGGGGGGGGGGGGTCAGGGGTTTGTACAGAGTTTATACAGGGGCTTTCATAGGGATGCAGGGTTTAGGGTTTAGGGTGAAAGTTAGGGTTTACATACGGTTCAGGGGTTAACTAGGTTTATAGGGTTTATCGGGGGTTTATAGGGTTTATAGCGGGGTTTCTAGATTCTATGGGGTTTATCAGGTTTATAGGGGGCTTATAGGGTTTACAGGGAGGTCATAGGGTTTACAATGTTTTTAGGCTGATAGGGTTTATAGGGTGGGTGGGTGGACCAGAGTTCTGGTTGGGGGATTCGGTAGTCAGTTCCCCAGTTCTAGGAATTACGGGCATGGCCCAACCAATAAGAGTCTGGGTACTAATGAAACCTACGGTTGAGGGTCTGAAGATCTGTGTTACGACCTTCTCTTGCCTTCCAGCGTACAATCTGGGGGTTTGCGAAAATAGGGGACCCCAAGTATAGATCCCACATAGTAGGATTCCCTTATCATAAGGACCCCAATAAGGTACCCCTAATTTCACAAACCCCCATTTAGGGTAAGGATGGGAGAGTTTGGGTTGTGTGCCGGGCAAGGTGGCAGCACACGCTTAGCACTAAACCAAAACCCAGAACCTAAAACTGCCTTCGCACCCCCAATCCCCCATAACCCTACAACACTACACCCTGAGCCCTAAACGCCACCCTAATCCCTAAACCCTAAACCCCTAAACCCTAAACCCTAAACCGCGAAACCCTAAACCCTAAACCCCACACCCTTAAACCCTAGACCCTCAACCCCATAAACCCCTAAACCTTGAACTCCAGACAAATCACCGGAGAGCCTCCGGCCCCATGCGTTGCAGCCGCTTCTGCTCCAACCTCGTGAAGCCACATGAGAGTGTCGGAAAGTAGGGTTTAGGGTTTAGGGCAAAGGTTGTAGGGACATGGGGGCTTCTTGGGGTCCTTACAAAAAGGGAATCCTATTATGTGGGGCTCTGCATTAGGGTGAATGGGATATGGTGAAGGTCCGGGGGATTGTCGTAGCAACCAACCGCTATTTGTTGTTGTCATTGGTGCCAAGAAGCAAGGCGATCCCGACTAGAAGAGCAAGGCCACATGTGTAACGAAGATGGGGGGGCTGTGTCGATTGTTCGACGCATGAGGAGGTGCTTTCATGGCATAGGGGTTTTTACGGATTCACCCAGTGTCCCTAAACCCTAAACCCTAAACCCTAAACCCTAAACCCTAAACCCTAAACCCTAAACCCTAAACCCTAAACCCTAAACCCTAAACCCTAAACCCTATACCTTGTTTAGGGGTTGAGGCCCAGGGTTCTGGCTCCTTGGCGAGACTCCGCTCCTGGAAAGGGCCTATGAAAGCATTGATGCAAGACGAGAAGAATGGGAACATTTATAGAACGTAGTAAAAACGAGAAAGAAGAAAGAACGATCTTACTACTTGAGTACACAGGTGGTATAAACAGGGATTTGGATATAAACTAACATGTTGTGGTGTTGTCTGCCATCAGAATGGTTCAGCTCAAGCTACGCCGAAGCGTTGAAGCCCTGCACCCGATGTCCTAAGGCCTCAACAAACCCTACAAACCCTACTAGGATGACCTTAAACCCCTCCGAAAAATATTCCTGAACATGATCCTCTTAAACCCAACAAGGGAAAAATATCCCGAAGGCCTACCGAGCCTAAGCCCCAGACACTAAATCTTGGCTTCATTCTCGGGTTCCGATTTGCGAAGGCTACTCTGGAGTGGAACGAGAAGCTCGTTGAGCCGTCGGGACAGAATTCCTTCGAGCTTTCTAAATTAGGGCCAGGGGTTTGGGTCAAGGATAGGACTTAGGCCGGGGCGGGGTGCCGCCATTTTCAGCGGGGTTTAGGGTTTAGGGTTTAGGGTTTAGGGTTTAGGGTTTAGGGTTTAGGGTTTAGGGGCATGCGTAAGGAAGCCCGACTTCGCACACAAATTTTGCCTCCCAAACCCTTGAGACCCGGGCGGCTTCAGGCAGATAGCTTGCGCCAGCTCCTCGTCTACTAAGAACCCCTATCCCAGGGTAACTTGCTCAACACGTCCGCTGCTGCCCCAAAATCTGAACGGTTTAGGTGTGAAACCCTCAAACCTCAAACCCTAAACCCTAAAGCCCCGAAGCTTTCCGGTGATTTGGGGAAAGCTCCGGGCAGCTGTAGGCAAAGAGGCCGAGGAACCCCCTAGACGCAAGAGGGCCCTACAGGCTTCATATAGGGGCCTACTTGTACTTATAATGGGCTTCGGGGTTTAGGGTTTAGGGTTAGGGTTTAGGGTTTAGGGTTAGGGTTTAGGGTTTAGGGTTTAGGGTTTCGAGTTTAGGACTTGGGGTTGCTTTTAGAATGGGCCTCGGGCTCAGGGATTCACGATGTACGGACCGTGATGCAGTCTATCTTCTTTCTGCTTATTTGTTTTGACTCAATTTTTCTGACTAGTGTATTCGTACTGTTGTTCTCGGTCTAGGGTTTAGGGTTTAGGGTTTAGGGTTAAGGGTTAAGGGTTTAGGGTTTAGGGTTTAGGGTTTAGGGTTTAGGGTTTAGGAATCCCCTGGTCCACGCAGGGCCTCGCTGTTCTCCACGAGCTCCTTGCGCGAGCCGGGCGCTTGGGACAGCCACTCCCTTGAGCCCTCCTCTTAGCCTCTGTCGCTGTTTGTGAACCCTAAACCCTAAACCCTAAACCCTAAACCCTAAACCCTAAACCCTAAACCCTAAGCCCTAAACCCTAAACCCTAAACCCTAAACCCTAAACCCTAAGCCCTAAACCCTAAACCCTAAGCCCTAAACCCCTAAACCCTAAACCCCAAATCGTATCCCAAGCCCCACATCTGTGGGAGAGGAAACCCCAAATCCTAAAGCCCTCAACTTCCCCCGAAGCCCACTAAACTTGCCTAAGCCCCTAAACCCCAAAATGCAAAAATCCGAAACTGCAAGGGTTTAGGGTTTAGGGTTTAGGGTTTAGGGGTAGGGTTTAGGGTTTACGAAATCCTAAACCCCGAAAGCCCCCAACGCAGCCTCAAGAAACGCAGCTCCCATCTGCGATGCCCAGGCCGCGGCTGCCTCCTGAGCCGGTACTTCTAGGGTTTAGGGTTCAGGGTTTAGGGTTTAGGGCTAGGGCTTAGCGTTTATAGGGTTTAGGGTTTAGGGTTTAGGGATGAGGGGTCAGGGGTTTAGGGCGTAGGGTTTAGGGGTTTAGGGTTTAGGTTCAGAGTTGGGTTGATGGATTCAGAGGTTTAGGGTTTTGGGGTTTCGGGTTGAGGGACTTAGAGGTTTAGCTTAGTGATAGAGTTTAGGGTTCGGGGCTTAGGGGATTAGGGCGTGTTCAAGGGTTTTGGGTTTTCGGGTTTGAAGAGTCCTTTGGACTTCCGGGGTTGAGGACTTCAGGGCTTGTAAGGGCTTGTTTAGGGCTGGGGGCTGGCGTTTGGGCCTTGCATTCTGAGGGGCTGCGAAGGTTAAGGCATTCTTGATACACTACGATCTGAGAACGGTTACAAGTATACATACCCCCCTTTTGATTGCCTAAAATTCCAAACCCAACTTGCATCCTAAAGCCATAAATGAAAGCAAAACACCCGCGCCCAACTTCCCCAAACATCGAAACTTCGAGGGTTTTGGGGTTGAATTAGGGCTGAGTTTAGGGTTATTTCGGGCTAGGACGATGGGGATCCCATTAAAAGTGGGCTTTCGAGCTTGGGGTTTACCAAGGAATAAAATTAATCATGGGTTCCCCTACTACCCCCCTCTATACTACCCCCCCCTAAGTTCCCCCCATAATTAAGGCGATGAAAGGATAATTAAGCCAAATTAAGGTTATTTGGGGGGGGAACCAGGGGGTAGTATAAAGGAGGGCAGTAGGGAAACCCATGAAATAAGGTTACAACTCCTAGCAGCTAGCAACGGCCCCTACTGCCCAATCCCCTGAAGTCTCGCAACCAAGCCAAGAACAAAACCCACCCCGGAAGACCCTTAAAACCCTAAACCCCGAACCCTGATACCCTAATCCCTAAACCCTAAACCCATAATCCCCAAACTGAAACCCTAAACCCTACGCCCTACAACCCTAATCCTAAGCCCCTCCCTAAAACCTAAAACCCTAAACCTCTAAAGCCCTAAATCCCTTAATCCCCCGAGACCCAAGCGTAAACAAGGAAGAAGAAGGGCTCTGGGCCCTATCCTTTTGAATCTTCAGGCCCCTGCCTCGTATTCGAGCAGACCCAACTCCGACAGCAGCTCCTGCTGGGCGCGAGGTGTTGAGGGTTTATATAGGGTTTAGGGTTTAGGGTTTAGGGTTTAGGACAATTGCTTCAGGGTTTAGAGGGGTTGTAGGCCTTGTAGTGCTTAGGATTTAAAGTTTACAGGTTTGCAGGGTTTGCAGGGGTTGCGGGGCCTATAGGGTTTCTTAGGGCCCTAAACCCTAAACCCTAAACCCTAAACCCTAAACCCTAAACCCTAAACCCTAAGGTTTCTTAGGGCCTGGGCTTGGCCTCCGCCCCTTTTGCAGCTTGTCCCCTGAGCAGGTTAGAAGAAACTTTCTTAAGCTAGCTTGCTTTAATGATAAACCTGGCACCTTCCGTAAACCCTAAACCCTAAACCCTAAACCCTAAACCCTAAACCCTAAACCCTAAACCCTAAACCCTAAACCCTAAACCCTAAACCCTAAACCCAAAACCCAAAACCCTAAAACCCTAAAACCCTAAAACCCTAAACCCTTAACCCTAAAAACCTAAAACCCTTAACCCTAAACCCTAAACCCTAAACCCTAAACCCTAAACCCTAAACCCTAAACCCTAAACCCTAAACCCTAAACCCTAAACCCTAAATTGCGAGTTCGGCTTGGCGAGCCCTGAGCCTAAACCCTAAACCGCATGCATCCAGCCTTTAGGGACCCTCTAAGGCACGAACTAAGTCTTGATACCAAGTTGTTCTGCTAGCCGCTGCACCCCATGCCCCCCGCCCCCCCCATGCCCTGCCCACCCCCCCATGCCCTGCCCACCCCCCCATGCGCCCCCCCCCCCCCCCCCCCTCCCCCCCTCCCCCCCGGTGTGGTTGAAAGGTTGGGGTTATACGGTTTAGGGTTTAAGGTTTAGGGGGTAAACCCTAAACCGCTGATAAAGGGTCTGTCCTACTGTTGTGTCAAGACTTTCGGTCTTTTCCCTCAACCCTCAACCCCACTTGAAGGTTCAGGGTACTTATGACCCCAATTATTACTGCACTTAAAAGCCCCCTAGGCCCTAAGTCCCCTAAGTAGGCTGTAAGTAGACTTGTAACTTATAACTGGGGGCTCTAAATACCTAATTAGGTTATAACTAGACTTGTAACTGGGGGTAAACCCTAAACCCTAAACCCTAAACCCTAAACCCTAAACCCTAAACCCTAAACCCTAAACCCTAAACCCTAAACCCTAAACCCTAAACCCTAAACCCTAAACCCTAAACCCTAAACCCTAAACCCTAAACCCTAAACCCTAAACCCTAAACCCTAAACCCTAAACCGAACCTCCAAGCAATCCCTGCAGCCCGGCACCTCCAAACCCCAGATGCGGCGGCTGTGGCCTCTCGTCTTAGTCTCTATGGCTTCAGAATGTGAGGAGTTCGGTCTTGGGGTTAATATAGTAGGGCTCTTACGGTTTTAGGTAAGGAGTTCGGGCTTGGGGCTGAGGGTTTCAGGGCTTCTAAGCCTTCAGAATGTAAGGAGTTCGGGCTTGGGGTTAATATAGTAGGGCTTTTTGGGTGCTTTAGGGCTGCTAAACCTGCCGACACGCTTGCGAAACATTGACCCCTAGCCGTCAGTACATACCGGGTCAGTATTGAAGGATGGAATGTCCAACACTAACCTGAGGTTTAGGGCTTAGGTTTACGGTTAGAGTTTAGGGTCTAGGGTCTGGGGTTAAGGGTTTAGGGGTTTGAGGTGTAGCGTTTGGGGTTTAGGGTCAGGGTAATGTACGACGTTGTGAGACACACCGCCCCGACCGATCCTGCGCGCACTTGCGAAGCCGTAAGCCTGAAGCCCTAACCCTAAACCCTAAACCCTAAACCCTACACCCTAAACCCTAAACCCTAAAGCTTTGACCCTAAACCTTTGCCCGAAAACCAGAGGAAATCCAAACCCTCAACCATCCTAAGCCGTCCAGATCTCCCGTGGAGGGGTATGGGTTTTTCCCCAAACCCTAAACCCTAAACCCTAAACCCTAAACCCTAAACCCTAAACCCTAAAGCCACGGTGGTTCTCCCTCTTTCCCCCCATTCTTAGGGCTTGGGAGTATGGTTTAGGGGCCTTCGGGTGTAGGGATGTAGGGCTTTGGGCTGGGAGTTAACCCTAAACCCTAAACCCTAAACTCGAAACCCTACACCCTAAACCCGAAAGAGGGTCTGATGGTTTAGGAGGTTTAGAGTGTAGGGCTTTTGGAGCTAGGGGCAGCTCCCAGGTTTTGGGGTGTTGGAGCTTTAAGGTTCTTTTGATGTACATGTGGAGGGTTTAGGGTTTAGGGTTTAGGGTTTAGGGTTTAGGGCCTGGGGTTTAGGGTTTAGGGTTTAGGGTTTAGGGTTTAGGGGTTGAGGGTTTAAGAGTTTAGGGTTTACGGGTTTAGGCTCTTTCCTCTTTGGTCACGATCGCACCAGGCGCACTGGGCACGGGGACCGTTGAGGGCGGACGCTGCGCAAGCGAAGGGGAAACTGCCTATGCCGTAAACCCTAAACCCTAAACCCCAACCTACAAGCCCCCAAACTCTAAATCCAAAACTCTCAACCGTGAACCCTAAACCCCAAGCCCTAAACCCTAAACCCTAAAGCCCCCTCGAACTTGAAGCATGGAGAACTTGAAGCCCCTCCCCCCAACCCCCCAGTTAATTAAGGTTAGGGTTTAGGGTTTAGGGTTTAGGGTTTAGGGCTTAATGCTTTAGGGGTTTGGGGCTTTGGGCCCTCAGCCCCGTATGGGTAGTACTTGTACTTGCTAGACTCGACCAGTTCTATAACTGCGGCAAGAGCTCACTTGTCAGCCAGTCCCGAACATAGTTGAAAAAAACCCTAAACCCTAAACCCTAAACCCCAAACCCCAAACCCTAAACCCTAAACCCTAAACCCCAAACCACAAACCTCAATAGTAAGTATCCATGAACCCTCCAAGCAGGAAATCCGGTGAGAAGCTCCCCGCAGCTCTGTACAAGCCCTCGGTGTGAGATCAACATCCAGTAAGAGGGGGGCTATAGTAAGGCTTAGGGGTTAGGGTTTTAGGGTTTTCGGGCTTTAGGGTTTTAGGGCTTTGGGGTTTTGGGGTTTAGGGTTTTAGGGTTTTAGGGTTTAGGGTTTAGGGTTTTTGGGGTTTTAGGGTTTTGGCAAGCTATGGGCTTGGGGGTTTGGGTCTGGGAAGTAGGGTAGGGGACTGGGGTTAGGGCCTGGGAGCATGGGGAAGGTTCAGGTTCAAGGATTTAGGATTTAGGGTTTAGGGTTTAGGGGCTAGGGTTTAGGGTTTAGGGTTAGGGTTTAGCATTAGAACTGCATTCGGAGGAGCTGTCGCGTGAGGGTATGACGGTCTTGAAAAAGCAGCTTAGGGTGCTGCCAATTCTACTTATCACCACCTCCCCCGCTCTTGCCCAGTTTCCTAGGGCCTTAAACCCTTAACCTTGAAAAGCAACTTTAAACCCTAAACCCTGAAGCCTCATCCCTAAACCCTAAATACCCTGCCCAAAAATAGAATAGTGCTTCATGCCTTCTGAGGGTTTAGAGGATTTAGGGTCTTAGATGTATGGTGCCCGGGCTTTGGGGATCAGCTTTGCAGGTGAGGGTTTAGGGGTTTAGGGGTTTAGGGGTTTAGGGGTTTAGGGGTTTAGGGGTTTAGGGGTTTAGGGTTTCGGGTTTAAGGTTTAGGGTATTTCAAAAGCGATGTTATATACTACTCGGAAGCAGCGCGCTACATGTCACTACACGGCAGCGGCTTTGCCAGAGGCGGCTCCGATCAAGCTCGTTAACCTGGGACTCCGGGTTTAGGGTTGAGGAGTTTAGGGTTCAGGGTTTGGGGTACCCCTAAACCCTAAACCCTAAACCCTAAACCCTAAACCCTAAACCCTAAACCCTAGGGTTGAGTGCTTAGGATTTAGGGAGGCGGGATGGCGTGGCCGCTGCAAAGGCATGCGGAAAGGAAGATTCGGAAGTACAGACTGTGCCTAATTTCAGAGACGTGTTCTGTCACTGACCCTGGAATCACCCTCTAGACCCAAGAGTACCTAGGAACCCTAAACCCTAAACCCTAAACCCTAAACCCTAAACCCTCAACCCTAAACCCTAAACCCTAAACCCTAAGCCCTAAGCCCTAAGCCCTAAGCCCTAAGCCCTAAACCCTAAACCCTAAACCCTAAACCCTAAACCCTAACCCTAAACCCTAAACCCCAAGACTGGCCTTCTAGAGGGACGTTTTGGCGAACATCTCCGCCAAATCTTCCATCTGAACGTCTTCTGACGCAGATACCTCTGCAGAACCCTCCAGCGTGTTCTTACGCTGAGTCAAAAGTTTTCCCAAAGCTGAATTATCATACCGCGCGTTCTCGAAGTTCCAGATCGTGTAGATGCCGACGAGGACAGTAATCAGTGCAACGTTCATCTCTTCAACGGCCTCGGCGTGGCCAACTTGCCAACCAAACTCTAAAGGATGACACCAACGATCATCTCAACCTTCTGCTCAGTGCCACGTGCTTGGGTTCTCTAACCCTAAACGCTAATTAAGCCCTAAACCCTAGACTCTACACCCTAAAGTACCGCGGTAACGCAGTCCGGTATTTGCGAATTGCGGCACTGGTTCAGCCGCTGCACACTAAAAGGGTTTATGGTTCATATATCTTATACTAGGAAATATAATAGTATAGGGTATATGAACCCAATTTTAGGGTTCATCTACCTTAACAGGAACTATGGTAGTATAGGGTATATGAACCCAATTTTAGGGTTCATTTGGTCCCCAAGGTTAAAGCGTCGAACCCAAACCGTCGCCCTAACCCCAAGCAGAGGGAGTATTCATTAAGTAGCTTTGTGGTGAGGGGGCTTACAACTCATGGTGGCATCCCCTTTGAGTGATTTATCGTGGGCTCTTCCTGCTTGGCCCAAACCCTAAACCCTAAACCCTACAACGTAAACCTTAAACCCTCAACCCTAAGCGCTGAACCCTAACCTCGGCAACATCTGCGGGGCAGGGGTGCTCTGCGGCTCGGGGATTGGGTGCAGAAATACAGAAATATTCCTTGAGTTATAGTCGCAAGACATCAGGGAACACGTATTCCTTAAACCCTCAGCCCTAAACGCTAAACCCGATACTCCTTGACTGAGGGATATGGGAAGATCTAGGGGGGTTAGTGCGTAGCTTCCGCTACGAGGCTGGACATCCATGCGTGCCTCAGCGAGCACCAGAACTTCCCACAGGCTAGTTGCTGAACACAGGTTAGGGCTGAGGGTCATAGAGGATTTTAGGGCTTAGGTTCCCCTAAACCCTATAAACCCTGAACCACCAAACTCTACAAACCCTAAACCCTAGACCATAACCAAGGTTTCAGGCTTACCTTGGTAGCCCAGTAAACATAATACAAGAAGGGCACCCTTTTTGGGGTTGGTTACTTCATAAGGGAACCCAGACCCCCCCAAAAAGGGTAAAGGGTACCACTGGGCTGCCAAGGCTTACAAACCCTAAAACCTAAACCCTAAACCCTAAACCCTAAACCCTGAACCCTGAACCCTGAAACCTAAACCCTTTACTGCTGGCCGCGAAACTTGGCGTCATTCGGCGAACGGCGGACGGTGACGCTCCCACGATCTCGTGGCCTGACCAGATCTGTAACTTAAGAACCCATTACTTGGGTTTAGGGTTCTGGATTTAGGGTTTAGGGTTTAGGGAACACGATAATCCCTACTGAGGATGTGTGTATAACGGGGAGCGTCCCAACCCATGACCTTCTCTTTTGTAGGTCATTACTGTAAAACCCCTTTTAACATTCTTAGGTAACCTACAAAAATGTAGGTTTCGGGTTCTTAAGGTAACTCTTCTGATGCGAATTCGCACCCCTTAACCAGGATTTAGTAAGGGTTTAGGGTTTAGGGTTAGCCATGTTTTTTGTAAGGGTTTAGGGCATTTGGAGGGCTTAGGTTCTGAGTGCGAATTCGCACCCCCCCCCCCTATATAAACCAGGACTTAGTAAGGGTTTAGGGTGCGACTACTTCTGAGGGCCAAGCAAGACTGCTCATTAACTCCTGCTAGGCGTACAAGCGGAAGTGTTAAACCAAATCGCCTTTTGAGGAATTGTGGCGGCTACCCTAAACCCTAAACCCTAAACCCTAAACCCTCAACCCGAAACCCTAAACCCTAAACCTTAATCCCTAAACCCTAAACCCTCAACCTGGCCTGATCAAGAAGTAGATCAGCGACAGAAGGAACCTCAGGGGGCGGGGAGGGGGGGGGGGGGAAGGGCAGGAAGCTTGCATGGCTTGGGGCTCAACCCCTGACCTCATGTAAGCGGCAATCCCCTAAAACCCTAAACCCTAAACCCTAAACCCTAAACCCTAAACCCTAAACCCTA